AATTTGTGTGTCACATAATTAGTATTTTGTCCTTATGAATATGAAAAGTAATATTTATCTACCTATCTACCTACCTACCTACTTACCTATGTGTCTATGTGTCTGTTTATATGTGTGTGGGGGGAGGTCTCAATCATTTTTTTAATTTACCCTAGATTACAATCTAGCTATTAAAAAATGGAACCATGTTTAACTTACCTAAAAATAATTTTAAAGATAAAACCAAATTGCAATTTTTAAATGAAATGCAAAAGATTACACTGTCTTAAAGCAGTTTTGTTTTGTTTTTTTCATACACAAGTCAGTGCTTTTTTTTCTCACTATGGCATCATTTCTAAAACCAGAACTAGTGGTAAGGTTATTTTTTTAAAGAAATATAACACATGGTGTATAAGAGAAACACTTTTAAATTATTATTATACTTCACCTGTCTACCCATAAGAACATATATTTTGACTTTGAAAAAAAGGAAAAATGTGTTTAAATAAGGACTGGGGAGTTTAATGTTTCTATTAAATTTCGAGGCCAGTACAAGCTCCCTGCGGTGGCTTTTTTAACACCTACAATTTTCAGAGCTTTTCCAGTAGAGAATACAGACTAATAGATAGGCTTTTTCTTGGGGGGGGGAGGGGACTTTCAAAGGTTTTGGACTTAAAATCCATTACCTTTTTTCCTTAATTCGAATGCTATAGTTTACATTTCTCCTTTACATTGTAAGCTGAGTTTTTGCCTATTCATTATATTTCTAAATAAATTCTTCTTAAAAAAAAAACTTTTATAAGTACAAAAGAAAGTAAATGAGAAAAAGGTCAATCATAAGTGTGATAACTTCAAAATGTGCCAAGTTACAAAGGGTTAGCTACCATGACAGCCAAGTTAAACAAGGCACTTTGGGGCTCTTTCTCCCTGGTTCCCACCACTCCTCTCCAGAGGTCAGTGGTATGGGTTTATGAACACCTGAGGGCCCAGATACCCTAATTGTGTCTCATGTTTAACTTGGCCATTTAAATGACTAAGTACTCCCTCTCTCCTTTCCAGCTTTATAACTTGGCTCTTATGGAGTATATCACACCTTTAGGTAGTGGGCCACTTTTTCCTCCTTACAGTGCTTTTCAGAGTAAATTTAAAAAAAAAAAATTGTATCAGGTAAAATGGCTGAGAAACTTCTATCAGAGAAGCACCACAAGAAATAGAATAAAGAGCCAGCAAGAAAAATAGAAATAGGTCACAATTGACCAATTTGATGCAACTGATTTGCTGCCTCTAAAAATAAGCTGACAGCAGAACTATTTTCAGTCAAGTAATCTACTCAAATACCATGTCTACTCTCAGGAACTGAGACAAATATCCAAATAGTACAAACAGGGTAGAAGAGGTGACTCATTTAATTGTGTGACCATCCATGTCTCGGAATACTGGCTTTAACTATTCGGTTAAACAGAAACGGTTATTCTGAAGATTCACAGCTAAGGACAGAATAAGTTTCTCAACTTTCTATGTGGACTGACAGAATTTTGATGCTAGGACTTTCAGAGGCAGGAGGAGTAATGGAGATCCGTATTTCAAAATATACCTCACAGTTTTCGCAAACAGAAAAATTATTATTGCTACTATGGATGATGATTATTTCTGCTGCTTAATGCACTTTAGAAGAGGAAAACCAACTAAACAGGACACACTGAAACCAGAAATATGGCACCCTTTCTCAGGAGGTGGCTTATTAGGAAATGCATACTAAAGTTTGCTGCAAACAAAAAAAAACCTTGCCTAATTTTTAAGTAGTCATAATTATTCATTCAAGTACTAAGTTGATGAGAAATCACAAAATAAATGAAGACTCTTGATAGAAAACTCCTGGTAATCTGGATTTTGAAGCATTTGGTTGGAAATAAAACTCCAAACTTAACTGTCATTTTGTTTTAATGTTTTCACCTGCTTTATGTAAACTACTCTCCTGAGATACAAGTCTCAAATTATGATATCAAAAATGACAGCCATATCAGAAATCTTTTGAACCTTGTGTGATAAAGAAATAGCATGTCTGTAAGAGACAAGCTGGAAGCTGAATGTAGAGCTTGCTGTTTCACTTGGAAGGGCATATTACATTTTCATGATTTGCAATGCCTCCTTCAAGTTGGTTACAGAGTCATCGACATGGGTTTTGAAACACTGTCACTCATCTAACAAAATCAGGATTTTAATCTCTCAACTGCAGAACTACTAATCAGTTCTTCATAAATAAAGAAACATAAATGAGTACTGTTTTTCTGTATCTGTTGACAGCAGTGTGGCTCCCTGCTTATTAGAATATTTCTAGTATCATGCCAGAATACTTGTGATAACACTTCCCTGGCTTGTCTATGATCCATCTGTGACCTTAGGAAGAATATCATGGACAGAATTCACATACTCAGTCTGCAAACACAAGGTGGAAAAAAAAAATGGAGATCCTGCCAAGAAGACACAGAAAAATTAAAATACTGAAAAGAGCAGGTATTTAATAAGAGCCACCCAGAATGCCATACTACTTCTTCAAAACCTCTCTCTACTCATCACAATTACTCATTTGACATAGCTCATCTAAATATGTATTTTTCCAGGCAAATGCATGCCCTCAAGAAAAACCTGCCGGGCTCTTCCTGAGGACTGTACTATTTTTATTCCTGTCTTCAGCTTCTCACCCCAAAAGCCCAGTCAGCCCACCTGAGGCCACTGCTCTTCCAGGAGCGCCCAAGCAGCTGATGGGGGGAAAAACGTGTGTTCCATGCCCACACAGAAAATGGAAGCTAAATCTTTGTTTCTAATGTAAATATTTTATTTAGAGCTTGGCAGCACAGAAGCTGTGTCTTCATGAAGATATTTGGATAATTTTACAACGTGACAGTAAAACAAAAGAATAATATGCCCTCTTCACTCATTTTCCCTTGTTATTTTTTTTCTTTTTTTCTTATTAACCTGTGAATCCCGGTCACAGCTATAATTTTGCAGTTTGAATCATCCAAGATTTCCCAGCGAGTACCGCCAACCGACTTTACTTAATTGCCCCTAAAATCTTATGTGCATGAGAAGAACTCTTTAGGAAGCTGGGGAACTCCTAGTAGTAGTTCAGCTTTAGGAAGCTGGAGACAGCTTCTCAATTCACCATCAACAGAACTTTCACTGGACAGTCATCCCAATGGCAGGTGAACAGAACGTTCAGGGGCTGCGGTGGAACAAAACTATTCATTGTGCAAACTTTAATAAACTTTTTTTATGCGTATAAAGATCTTTCCAAATTTCTGCACAAGATTTCAGAAGCCCTTTGGAGCCCTTCTAAACCGAGCTGCCACTAAGCGCTATGCTACTCAACTCAGAAAGTTCTTCTTTCCCAGTGTCTGGCTGGAGGTTTGTCCAGGTACTTGTAAAGAAGCAAGAGTCTCCAGGCAGGCAAGTTCCCGCGACGCGAGCGTGGTCCCCGGTTACCCTGACACCCGCGCACGTCCGTGGCGTTTATGTTTTCCCCATCAACATTTAGACCTTTCAAGGCCTGGGTCTAGGTTTTCCCGAAAGTGTGTAACCAACATGAATGTAAATCACCATAAAAACTGCGGTCAGACACATGTCAATGATTCACCTCGTTTTCGAACTAAGAAACTTCTGAGCTTCAGGAAGAAAGGCAGCTTTCGGATGTGCCAGGCCCTCCCCCACCCCGTCCCTTCCCGGGAGAAGAAAGGGCTTTGTGTGCGCGGTGAGGGCTCGGTTCATCCAGTTCATAAAGACACCTCGGGCCCAGGCCGGGGGCGGGGGCCGGGGGCGCCGAGCTCTGCCCGTCCCCCTTGTCCCCCGGCGGGCGGCAGAGTCGCGAGACCGGGTGGCAGGATCCGGGGCAGCTGCGCGCCGGGGGC